TTACAGATTCAATGCAATAACACAAGCATAATTCTTCACAGACCTTGAAAGAACAATACTCAACTTTATATGGTGAAACAAAAGACCCAGGATAGCCAAAACAACCCTGTACAATAGAGGAACTTCTGGAGGCATCACCATCCCTGACTTCAAGTTGTATTATAGAGCTGTAGTCCTGAAAACAGCTTGGTACTGGAACAAGAATAGACAGGTAGACCAATGGAATGGAATTGAAAACCCTGATACTAACCCACATACCTACAAACACCTGATTTTTGACAAAGCTAAAGGTATACAATGGAATAAAGATAGTATCCTCAACAAATGGTGCTGGCATAACTGGATGCTGGCATGAAGAAGACTGCAGATAGAACCATGTCTACCACCATGCACAAAACTTTAGTCTAAATGGATCAAAGACCTCAACATAAATACAGCCACACTGAACCTCTTAGAAGAGAAAGTGGGAAGTATCCTTGAACAAATTGGTACAGGAGTCAGCTTCCTGAACATTACATCTGTAGCACAGACACTGAGAACAATTAATAAATGGGACCTCCCGAAACTGAGAAGCTTCTGTAAGACAAAGGACACAATCAGCAAGACAAAGTGGCAACTCACAGAACGGGAAAGATATTCACCAACCCCATATCCGAAGAGGGCTGATCTCCAAAATTTACAAAGAACTCAAGAAGCTAGTTTCCAAAACACCTAATAATCCAATTAAAAAGTGGGGTACAGATCTTCAGGGATTTTCTTATGAAAGGATATTTAACTTGGCAAAGCCTTCTCTACTCAGGTCCAAATGATAATGCTGTTTCTGTCCTTTATTCTATTTATATATTTAATTACACTTACTGATTTGTGTCTGTAGAATAAACCTTGCATCCTGCAGTGAAATCAACTTGATCAAGTTGTATGATCTTCTTAATGTATTTTTTAAATATAGTTTGCAAAACTTTGAGAATTTTTGTGTTTATGTTCCCTGGGGAAATTGATCTGTAGGGTTGTTGCTTTGCTGTGTCCTTATCCTGCTTTGGTATCAGGGCAATGCTGGCTTTAGAGAGAGAATTTACTAATAATATTCCTTCCATTTCTATTTTATAGGACAGTTTGAGGAGCATTAATATTTGTTCTTCTTTAAAGGTTTGGCAGAAATCATCTGGACCTGAACTTGTATTTGTTGCTAGGTTTTTGTATTACTGCTTCAATCTTACTAACTTATGGATTCATCTAAGTTATTTAGATTTTCTTGATTGAATTTTTGTAGGTAATACTTATCTAGGAAGTTATTCATTTTTCTAGGATTTCCACTTTTTTTAGTTTTTTTGAGACAGGGTTTCTCTGTGTAGCTTTGGATCCTGTCCTGGCACTTACTCTGGAGACCAGGCTGGCCTCGAACTCACAGAGATCTGCCTGCCTCTGCCTTCCGAGTGCTGGGATTAAAGGTGTGCACCACCAACGCCCAGCTTGGATTTCCACTTTTTTGAAGTATAAATTTTCAAAGAACTCTTTGATGCTTCTCTGCATTGCAGTGGAATCTGTAGTAAATTTTCTTTTTTAGTCTCTATCTAGGTCTTCTCTCTCTCTTATTTATCATGGCAAGATGTTTCCCATCTTATTTTATCAGAGAATTGAGACTTTGTTTAATTGATTCGATATATTGTTGTTTTAGTCTCCAATTTAGTAATATATATCCCAATCCTTATTATTTCTTACTATCATTTAGATTGGGCTTGGGCTCCAACTGTAAATTATTTTCTTGAGAATTCTCAGATAGTTCTTTCCTCCGTTCCCCATATACTTGTGATGTAAACATTCATAGCTGTAAAGTTTCCTTCTACACCTATCCTAGCTATATCCCAAAGGTGTTGGCACATCATTGTGGTTTCATCGTCATTTGTTTCCAGGATCTTTTCAAATTTCCTGTTTGGTTGATTCAGTGACATATTAACATCCAAGATGCATTGTTTGGTCACAATGAATTTATGTAGTTACCATTTTTTTATTATGGGTTTCTAGTTTGACAGGACCATGGCCTGGTAAAATACAGGGAGTTGCTTTTTTATATTTGGTAAGTCTTTCTTTATGACCTAGAAAGTGGTCTATTTAAATATGTTTCCATGGGCTACTGAAAATATCATGCTTTATATCTGTCAAATGGAATATTGTGTATTTGTCTGTTGCATGTTTGTTTGCTTTGAGGATGCATTGCTGATTTTCAGTTTGAATGATGAATCTGAAATTAAGACGGGTGCTGAAATTGCCTATATCATGGTCAAACTGACTTTTGAACTCCATTAGTGTTTGTTCCATAAAATTTGTAGCTGAACATTTGGTGCATGTAAATTGGTTACTAGAATATATTCTTGATGAATCATCCCCTTCTTAAATACATAATGTCTTTAAGAAATTTATTCTTACTAATTTTTTTCTTTATATATATCTTATCTGATAACAGGATTGTTATGTCAGGTTTTTTTTTTGCAGTTTCTGCTTGCTTGGTAGATTGTTATCTAATCATTTGACTCTCAGTCACACACCTTTAATAGTAAGGTGTGTTTCTGGAGGTAAGGTATCATGGGAATCTAGTATTTCAACTGAGTTAGCCTTCAAAAAACAGAAACATGGGAAAAAAAGAACTTAAAATAATTCTGACATAGTTGAGAAGTATTTTCAAATTTCAATCGTATGAGTAATTTAAACAGTGTGTGTGTGTGTGTGTGTGTGTGTGTGTGTGTGTGTGTGTGTGTGTGTGTTCACGTGAGTGGCAATTATGTTCCTAATTATGTTCTTATTTTCCTTATCTTTTTATGTTAGGATTTCCAATTTTGAGTCAGTCCACTATAATAAAAATGCTGAAATTTTTTTATTTAAGTTTTAAAAACGTGTATCTGGGGAGTATCAAAAGAACACTTTTATACATTTCTGAGCTACTTTAAACCCTGTGGATTTTCTTGGGTTCTTTACCTGAAAAGATTAAAACTAGGTAGTTATTAAGTTCTGAAGTAAATAGCCCTAATTCCTTTTACATGTTTTCCTGTGTCATGTTTGCTTCTAACCTTACCTGAATTGAAGATTACCAAAGAAGGATTTGTCATAGAAGTACAGGACAACATGTTTCTCCCCGAAGTGCTAGTGAGGGATTTCTATGGTCATTTAGCAGACCAGGTAAGAAGGCTTTTAAAAATCCACTGTGTACTCATTTACTTATTTACACTAACACACACTAATATAATATATGTATATTCAATTACAGTATTTGCTATAAGTTTAGATTTTATTATAGAGTAGAATATTAATAAATTAACCAACTGAATAAACTTTTGGTGACTTGGTGATGTCCATACCCTAGTGATGCCAAAGATGGTGGCTCTGAGATCATCTCCAGTGCTCCAGTGTAAACAATAGCGCCCAAGCAAAACTGAATGTTTTTTTTTTTTGAAGACTTATTTCTTCTATTTTCTCTGGAAGTGAACAGCCAGTTCTCTCCCATCAACTTTCAGACCTGGCTGAAAGTATTCCTTTCCATCTGGTACACAGGGATGCTGTAACCCACACTTTGTCTGTGTCCTTTCTCTAAGGCTATCCTCCAGCAAGTTGTCTTCTTCCTGGAAGAATGAAGTAAAAGCAGCATTCAAAAAATTTTAAAGGGGAATGGTTATGACTTTGAAAGGGAGACCTATATTTTAAAAACACTCTGCCACTGTGATGGGCAGTAGTAAATACATGTGACTATTTGGATTTAAATTCACTCAAACTAAATAACATTTAGAAATTGGAGTCTTATTTACACTATCCATATTTTAGCTGCTCAGTAGTCATATCCAGGAATATTGTTAGGGAGTGCCCAGTGTGTTACTCATAGAGAAAGGTCTGCTGGTCAGCACTTGAATAACTGATGTACTATTTCAGCTCTCTCTCTTGGTTCCAGTTTCCACATATATAAAATAAAGAAAAACCCTTAAGAATGTCATTGAGAAGCTATTAGGTCAGTGAGATTTCTATCAGTGTAATGAATATACCCCCCAAAAGCCAATTAAAAAGGAAAAAAAGCTTCATTTTTGTCTCATAACTTCAGACATTTCATTCCATAGTGGCTTGGACCCACAACTTTGGTGTCTGTGGTGAGGCAGAACATCATGTTCAGGAGATCATGGTAAACTAAAGCTGCTCACTTTATGAAGCTTTGAACAAAGAATGATTGAGAGGAGACATCAGAGTCCTAGTAACTGCTTCAAGAAAATACCCAGTGATTGAACAGCCTTCCATTTAAGAGTTTCATTTGCTTTCAGTAGCAATCATGTCCTGGTGACCAAGCCTTTATTAGCACACGGCCACTGGAAGACATTTTAGATCCAACTGTGACTGACTTAGAAACTGTGGGATAGAGAACCAAAAGATTTCCCCCACCACAACTCTCTTTCTCTCTTTCTCTTTCTCTTTCTCTCTCTCTCTCTCTCTCTCCTCTCTCTCTCTCTCTCTCGTGTCTGTGTTAGTTCTTTGAGATTCTGTACAATATAATTATTCATTTCCCTCCTTCTCCCAATTACTTCTAGATTTGCCTCCTCTTCCCTACTCACACAACTTAGTGACCTCATTAAAAAGACAAAGCAAAACAAAATAAAAATGCATTTTAACTAGCCCTTCAGATGAATTGCCCACATCCTGGTGCTGGGAAGTAGTTGTGTGCACTATCTTTAAAATCATTTTCTACTGGGTGTAAATGTTTATTATGTAAAAATGTTCCTGCAAACAGAAGGTTTATGAGGGTAACATGGCGTTGTTAATAACCACAGAAGGGAAGATGTCACTGTTTTTTCACAGTGACCACCATTTTAATGCCCTTGTGCTGGGATCCCAAGGGAAACAGTTTCTCATCTTTTGTAGCCGGACTTTGAAGAGTTTGTATCATTTGTCACACGTGGCATAAGCTGTGTGCTCGTTATATCTCAAGGAGAAAAAGAAGTAGAAGAAGATGTTATCCAGGAAGAATCTCAACCTCAGTCTGAAGCAGAAGAGGAGGAACCATCTGAGCATCCAGAAGAGACTCATGTTAGGTTTTCACCTGTGATGCTAAAGAAGAAAAGGGACAGGTAGCTAAGGCCAGATCTTTATCACTCATTGTGTGTCACTTGGTGATGGAGCATAATGAACAATTGTTTCAAAACCTAATATTTTTAATGTAGATACTATGAATGTTTTTCAGCCAACCTAGAATATTATGTGTTCAGAAAATGGGAGACTTCCCTCAATGTTTATGTCAGGAAAATTAGAAAGGGACTAGCTTTCCCTGCTGACCTCTCTAAGTCTGGGACACCATCTGACTTCATTGTCTCAGGCCTAGAGGAAGCATACACTGTCTCGGTCAACTCTGTCCATATTCCAATATTTTCTTCCATCTTCTAGGCTCCCTGTCTTAAGACACTTACTGGTATAAAATTGATAATGACAAAATAAATGTATGCCTTGATAATACATTTTTAGATGTTTCAAAATGAGCAGGCAATTATCAGAATGTTGGTTTTATGTGTTGCTGTCCATGGCCCTTATTCTGCTAAAGACTAAAAGTCATAGTTTGATACAACAGTTTTGCAAGACGTGCCAGAATGAGTGTGGTGAGTAAAAGGCTTTGTGGCTAGGCCCACAAAGCTCTGTGTCCCAATGCTACTGCATTGTCTGTTGGAGAATTACAGGATGTTTCCTCCTTGCTTTATAAACTGTGGGTTTTTCCTGTGGTTTCTGGTCACTTCATATTTCTCAGGTATCAGGTAATTCTAGAATTTGTTTTGCTATTGTATTGTCGGGCCTAGAACCTAGAGCCTTCTGCATGCTACCCAAGTGTTCTAACCTTGAGCAAGTTTTTGATGACATTTAAAATTTTAAGCAGGTGAGAACAACACAAAAGGGAATTCAATGGATGCCAAAGGGTGTTGGAAACAGTGGGAGTTACTTTCAGAGTGATAATATGTGGTCAGAAAGAAGTTTTATATTGTGTTATTAAGCTCTAATACATTAACATATAAGTTTTCATACAAGTTTATGCCTTAAATTACAATAACCTCAGGTTATGTTTTATATCTCAACAGTTTGCAAGACTATTTGGATAGACAACATATATCTGAGTTTTGTGATATTGAGGATAATGTATCTAAGGTTTCTATGATAATTGACATATTATTCCCTGATTTCAAAACCATGAAAAGCATGAATGTACAAAGGACCCTGGCATTACTGCGGCCAGAAGTCTATGCGGAAAATAAAGGTAGGAAGTGAAGCCCAAAGTAAGAACTTGGTGGGTAGGACTTGAAGGTTGAGTTATCACTTTCTCAATAATAATGGATAAAACAACTTTAGCAGAAGAATTTATAAAGCATTTTCTAATCTGTGACTTTGCTGGAGTGTGTATCACCATTGTCAGGACACATCAAAGGATACAAAGAGCCAGGACAACTACCTCATGTTTGCACTGCCTCAGCACAGAGGTCTGGCAGAGGCTGATCCAAAGTGTGACCTAAGTAAGATGTTGTTCCGGGTCTACTTCATTTGTAAAACTCAGAAGATTAAGATGAGAAAGCATATGTAGAGTGCCTGGCACTCGAGTGTTAGTTTTTATTTGCTTGTTTGTTTTTCAGTACTCTGGATGGTGCACAAACTCTCGTTCTTATAGTTAAACACTCTAACCCTGAGCTATAGCCCCATCCCTAAGTGCTGGAGATTTAAAATCCTATTCCATAGTTACACAGAAAAGCAAATACTCCAACGTGAGACTAGAGGTTCTAGATAATACCATTCATTCATTCATTCACTCATTCTTTCATTTATTTTGTATGCCTGCTGTCTGGAAACAACATTGGCATTTGTATAGGATCTTTGGCACAGTACAGGGATATCATCATAAAATACTGTATTGTAACCCTAGCTCCACTTATATTTTGGCCGGGTAATTTTTTTTGAGGGTGTAGGTGCATAACTCATCAAATGCTATATTGTCAAATGTCATCACTTTTGACCTCTAGGTGTCAGGGGCATCCCTCCCAAGCTAAATTGTAACAGCATGAATGTCTCTATACATTGATTGTCAAATGCCCTGAACAGGACTGAGAATCATTGAGAATGCCATTATGTCATCTGCCTTGGGGGTGCATGCAAATTCTCCCTTTCCATCTCTGTGCCTTGGTTTCTTTTGCTTTTTTCTCCTTGAACAGGCTGAAGTGTCTGTGTGATGCTGATTAGGAGCTGATGTTGAACAGGAGTAGTGAGACATCATATCTTAAAGCAAAAGGTTCAGATTTTGTAACATTTGGTGCACTATTAGCTATTAATTAAGGAAATTTCCATATATTAAGTGGCTTAAGGTGAATTTTCTTTCTTGTTGAGAATGCTTTTATTTTTATTTTATTTTGCACTGCTAGGGATTGAGTAGATAGTATGACTTATTGTAAATGAATGTTATGTTGTAAACAATTTATTATTTGTCTACTGCAGCTATGTATTTTTCTATACTTGATAATATGGTGGATTACTTTAATTTTTGAAGATTGAACCAACCTTGCATAGCTTGCTGCATCTTGTGTGCTCCTAAGCACTTTTGTGTTTGTATACATGGGAGATATTTGTGGTTTTTTATGATAATTTGGTTTGAGTGTCAAAATAATATGTAACTTAGATAAAGAGAGTAAAGAAAGCCTTTCCTCCTATGTTTTCTGGAAGGCAGAATGCCACTCTCTTCAAATGGTTCCTAAATATTTTCTAGGATTTGTTAGAGAAGTTACCTGGGTCTGGAATTTTCTGTTTGGGAGGTCTTACTCTTATTTTGTATTTTGTCCTTTTGGAATTTTTATCATGAACATGTTGCTTTTTAGATGAATAGACTTTATGCTTTAAGACATTTTTATCAAACAAGTAACCTACCTATCTCAAAGCTCCCATGTGCAGAGCTATGCTCCTGCCCTGCTTTTCTTATTGAAACCATCTTGTATTATTATAATATATTGTAATTAATGCCATAGTACTATTACTCTACCTAAACTACAGTTCATAATGTGTATGCAGGTCCACTCTTGGTTTTGAACAATCTAAGTGTGGAGAGAAACACATGATGCATTTTTTTCCTATTGCAGATTAGATCAGCATGGAGACTCAGGCCTGAATGTCCCTATGCTTCTTGTGCACACCCTACCAGATCTGAGCTTTCTGTTGCTTTTCAGTTTGTCTTTCCAGAATGCTGTCATTGAAATTGCATAGTACACATCCCTTTCAGATTGACTTCTTCCACATATTAATGTCGACTAGGATTCCCCATGGCTTTAAAGTTTCATAGCTCATTACTTAATAATTATTGCTGAATAACATTCAGTTGTAAAAATGCAGTGGAGTTCATCAGGTGATTTATTAAAGTACATTTTTCCCAGTTTTAGTTTCTTTCACTTTCAAGAATGAACTGCTACAAACATTCATGCAGAGGTTCCTGAGCTGACATAAGCTTTCAATTTAACTAGGTAAATAGCTAGGACCATGATTTGTGGACCATGTGGAAAGTTGTACTTTAACTGTGTAAGAAACTGCCAGAGTGCATTTCAATGTAGTTATACTATTTTCTATTCTGCTATCAATGAATTAGAGTTCTTCTTAGCCTGCATCTTTGTCAGCCATTGTACTGCCAGTTTTGTCTGAACTAGTACATACTCAATGATACTTATTTGAGAGTTTCCCATTAAGTGTATGTAGCTTGGCATTTTTTTAACATGCATACTAGTGATGCCTATATCTTCCTTTATGGTGTGACTTCTTAGATCTTTCGCTATTAGCTTCCAGAGTGGATATCAAATGAGCCTGACCACAATGAGATGCTTAATATTTCAAATAAAAAATATGCTCTAATTTAATCATTTGATGAGATCTTTAGCTTGTATCTGATTTTTTTGTTTTCTTACTACTAAAATTTCTGATTTCTTTGTATATTTAGAGCCTAAGTCCTTTTCATATATGTAGCTTATAAATATTTTCTCAGAGGTTTTATTAATGTATTTTATAGAAAAATACTTAAATATGGTCTGACATTTACATTATTATAAATCAATTATAAATAAAGCTAATGAGTGTTTATCATATTTGTAATTGGTTTTTATTTTTGAATATTTTCTTGGCTTCTTTCCTTTTTATGTCTCTTTTTCTGTCTTTTTTCACTTTAAATGAGCATTGAAAGATTCTCCCCTCTTCTCTTAGCATATTGTAAAAAACTAATTTATTCTTCTCACCTCAAAAGTCTAAGTGCATGTGGCGACAGAGCCTTTAAGAAAGCTATTCAAATTAAGTGAGATCATAAAGGTGAGTCTACACAGGGATTGATGCTAGGACCGTCCAGAAAACATTATTGTGATATGATAGGATATGGCAAGTTGCTCTTCTCCCAAGACAGATCAAGTAAGTCCATGCAAGTCTACAGTAAAAGTATACACATCCCTAAGCTAGAAAGGGAGACCTCAACAGGAACCAAACTTTTTGGCATCTTGATCTTACACTTCTGTAAGAACTGCTGGAACTATGAAAAACTAAATTTTTTGCTCTTAAATCCACTGAATCTCTGACATTTTCTCATAGCAACTCAAGCTGTGAGAAATTTCAGCATATAACAAGCAATGCAGATAGCAAGTACTCACTGCAGATAATAAGCTATGGGAATAATAAACAGTACAGATAACAAGCACTCACTGAGGATATCAAGTACTGTGGATAACAAGTACTGCAGATAACAAGCAATGCAGACAACAAGCAATTAGGATAACAAGTAATGTGGACAAGTACTGTGGATACCAAGTACTGTTCACAACAAGTACTGTGGATAACAAGCACTGAGGATAAGAAGAACCGTAGATAACAAGTACTGTGGATAACATGCACCCCGGATAACAAGTACTTCAGATAACATTACTATGGATAGCAAGTACTGTTCATAACAAATACTGCAAATAACAAGCACCAATGGAGAAGAACCACTGCCAATAAGAAGTACTGTGGATAACAAGCACTATTAATAACAAGTACTGCAGATAACAAGCACCAGAGATAACAAGTACTGCGGACAACATTACAGCAAATAACAAGAATTGCAGATAACATGTATTGCAGATAACAACTGCAGTGTTCATCAAAAGTACTGTAAACAACATTACTGCAGATAACAAGCACTGTAGAATGCAATACTGTGAATAACAATACTGCAGATAACAAGGACTACAGATAGCAAGTACGGTGTATAACAAGAACTGCAGATAACATTACTGAATATAACAAGCACTGCAGATAACAAGTACCACAGATAACAAGTAGTGCAGAACTGTGGATTATGCTAGTGCAGATAACAAGTTAACTTTCTCTTGTGCTTTTCTTCCTTTTTTCTTGAGGATATTCTGTCAGATAATTTGACAGAAAAGAAACTTTATTAGTGATAACAACTGCTGTTAAGCACTGTCTTAATGGTACCAAGTGTCACACCAAGTGTGCAATGTGAGGGAAGGGAAGGGACTATTCTGATGCTTCTTAGATGCATATTTAAATTCTCCATCAGTTACAAAGGGCAAGTTCCAGCCATCCAAACCCTAAAAAGGAAGAAAGGACCACCACCATCATGAAGACGATGCCTCCAACCATTGGCAGGACTCGAAACCACCAGTTCATCATCACACATGGAGCTTTTTTCAGTCACTCTTCCACGTTTGTCTGCCTGTTGGCTAAACTCTTCCCCTAGACCTTTGAAATCCTTCTTTTCTATTGAGTTAAATTTCTCCTTGTTGATATTATTTTGTACATTCTTTGAAATATTATTATTCATATACATATACAACATATCTTGATCACATCTACTCTGGCTTACCCATAGTCACCCTATTGTATGTAAAATCACAGTCTAGCAGAGTGTTGGTCTCCTCCTTAAGCCTTTGAGAATAAATATAGTCCTTGCTTCCCCAGCCACCATTCAGTGTACATACCAGCAACCATGACTCCTGAATGTCATGACATAATCAACAGGAACTATGAACTGAATGCTTGTGTCCTCCTAAAATCAATGCTGAAATCTAATCACCATTATGATACTTTCAGAGAGTAGGGTCATTTGAAGTTAATTAAAGCATTCCTCATGAAGCTACCTTATAAAAGAGGACCCAGAGCAGGGTGTATATACCTGCAACCTCAACCCTTAGGAGGCTGAAGCAGAAACAGTGTTCAAGGTCACCTCTTATACCATATGAGATAAAAAGATAA